AATTCCTCACCACAGGACCAATAAGCAAAATTATTATAAATGGAGAAAAAATTGCAGTTGTCAAGGATTTCATTTTAGTTGGATCCACAATCAATACCCATGGAAACAGCAGTCAAAAGACATACTGCATTGGGTAAATCTGCTGCAAAGACCTCTATAAAGTGTGAAAAAACAAAGATGTTATTTTAAGCACGAAGGTGTGTCTGACACAAGCCATGGTATTTCAGTTGCCTCATATGCATGCAAAAGCTGGACAATGAGTAAGGAAGAGCAAAGAAGAATTGATACCCCTGAATTATGCTATTGGTGAAGAATATTAAATATACCATGGACTGCCAGAAGAATGAACAAATCTGTCTTGGAAGAAGTGCAGCCAGAATGCTCCTTGAAAGCAAGGATGGTGAGCCTTCATTTCACATACTTCAGACATGTTACCAGGAGGCACAAGTCCCTGGAGAAGGACATCATGCTTGTTAAAGTAAAGGGTCAGCAAAAAAAAAAAAAAAAAAGGAAGACCTTCAATGAGATGAATTTTCAGAGCAGCTGCAAGAAGGATTTCAAATGTAGCAACAATTGTGAGGCTAGCACAAGACTGGGTGTTCTGTTGTACTTAGGGTCACTATGAGTTGGAACCAACTTGATGACACCTAACAACAACAACCACAAATCCAAGATTGCATTAATTTTGTTTCCTGTGATGGAATTTTTGTTTCTCCTGAAATCATAAGAAATTACTAAAATTGCTTTGTGGAGAGTATAACGTTAAAGAAATCAAATTTGTTTTCCAAGGACATTTGATGTAACTAATTTTTAAAATAACTCCTGCTTTTATAGTACCAGACTTTAGATAATAACAATTTAAAAGAAAAAGAAAAAAAAAAAAGTTATGAAGAGAATTATTCATTCTTTGTCAGTTAATCCTCAAACCTGTAAATGCCTTTACATGTCCATTCCACACCAATTGGCTTATCTTTGTTTCATCTTGTATAATGCAGTCTAGAGGAGAATTAAGTCAGAAATCAGACATTCTTTTGAGCCTAACAAATAGTGTGGATGCATTTGCCTATAACTAGAGAACAATGGGTGTTTGTAAACTGGGCTGATCTTTAACTAGTGCATTACAGCACAATTGCCGTTTTCTGTTCTGATTGGTCAATGCCCATGTGTTAACAAAACAAACAGACATAAATAAATAAATAACCCATTGCCATCGATTCCATTCTGACTCAGTGGAACCTGTAAGGACAGAGTTGAGCTACCCTATGGGGCTTCCAAGGCTGTAAATCCTTATGGAAACAGACTACCACATCTTTCTCCTGTGGAGCTGCTAGTAAGTTTTCAGTTACCAACTGAGCGCTTTAACCACTGCACTCCAGGATTCCTTTCCCCATGCTTTACACGTTATTAATTATTTTGACATTTACCCCTACTTGACATGATGACTGTAAAACTCCACACAAATTTTAAATATTAAATGATTTAAAATTAAATTTAAAATATTAAATCATTTAAATGATTTTCTGAATCATCATCAATGATTAATTTATTCTCCGGCTAATATTTGAGTTGCATGTAAATTCCATATGTTTGTAACCTGAGAATTAGTGATCAGTAAGCACTGTACTAGGAGCCTGAGTGGCACAAGGGTTAAGTGCTTGGCTGTTAACCAAGAGGTTGGCAATTTGAACCCCCTAGTAGTTCTGTGGGAGAAGAGATTTGGTAATGTACTCCTGTAAAGATTGTTGTTATTCAGTACTGCGTAACATGTAAGAAACTGGAGGACATTATGCTGAGTGAAATAAGTCAATCACAGAAGGACAAATATTGTATTAGTCCACTATTATAAAAACTCAAGGAAAGGTTTATATATAGAAGCAAACTTTCTGTGATAGTTACCAGGGATGAGAGGGGAGGGGAGGCTAAATTCCTAGATAGTGTGAAAAAAACAAAAAGAGAGAGAGAGAGAGAAATCAAAGATTATTAGTGGTTACCAGGCGTAGGAGGGATGGGGGGGGAAGAGAAGCTTTTGTTTGCGGGGCATTGAGTTTATGCTAATGGTGGTGGAATATTTTGGAAAAAGATAGCAATAATGGTGGCACAACATGAAAAAGGTCATCAATGCCCCTGAGCTGTAAATGGGGAAGCTGTTATGTTGGTGAATGTCTTGTGTATGTTTTCACCACATAAAAGTTTAAAAAAAAGGATTATTGTTCTGTGTAAAGATTAAACTAAACCAAACCCACTGTCATCAAATCAATTCCAACTCATGGCAACTCTTTTTAGGACAGAGTGGAACTGCCCCATAGCGTTTCTAAGGCTGCAAATCTTCATGGAGGTAGACTGCCTCATCTTTTTACTACAAAGTAGCTGATGGGTTCAAACCACTGACCTTTTGGTTACCATCCAAATGCTTTAACCACTATGCCACCAGAACTCCCTTTTTTATAAAGATTCCAAAAACCAAACCCAAACCACTGCCATCGAGTCTGTTCTGACTCATAGTGATCCCCATTGGGTTTCCAAGGCTGTAAATCTTTATGGAAGTAGCTTGCCTCATCTTACTCCCGTGGAGCAGCTGGTGGGTTTGAACCACCCACCTTCTGGTTAGCAGCCAAAATGCCCACTATGCCACCAGAGCTGGGGCAGTTCTACTTTGTCATATAGGGACACTGTGAGTCAGAATCAACTTGATGACATACAGCAACAACCAGTATTCTGTTAATCATCTGATTTCTATCTTTCTATCACATGCTACAATTCATCAAAAAATCTTATTGGCTGTACCTTTAAGATATTTTCAGGTGCTCACCTCTTCTCACTGCATTTATTCTGTTGAAAAGCATAAAAAAGGTAAGTTTCCTAAATAGTAACAAACCAAAAACAAACTCCAAACTCAGTGCCGTCAAGTCGACTCAACTCATAGCGACCCCTTCTTGGGTTTCCGAGGCAGTATCACTAAGGAAGTAGATTGCCCAGTCTTCCTTCCAAGGATTTGGGTTTGAACCACCAGCCCTCTGGTTATCAGTCAAATGCCTTAGGCACTACGCCACCAGAGCCTCCTAAATGATAGTAAAAGACACTCCAATTAAAACAGTAAGGTATTGGCATAAATAGATGAGTGAAAAAGAAGAGTCCATACTCAGGTATATTTTGGAACTTAATATAGTATAAAGATATTTCAAATTACTGGAGAAAGAATGATTTATATATAATCCTGGCATAATTATCTATCTGTCTTCCTCAAACAAAATTAGAACTGTGTCACACTATGTTATTTTTAAAAAAAAAAAAAAGTAGGAGAAAATGTAAAAATATTGTTTGTAAAACCTCGAGATTAAGTTTGTGTATTTTTTTCAAGCAAGACAAGAAAGCCAAAAAGGAGAATAATTGATTTTCCTTAATGAAAATTTAAAATTCTGTAAGGAAAATTTCTCCATAGTTAAAGGCAAAAAGATATTTATGACCGGGGAGATCATATACCAAGAGTTACTATAAACTGATAAAGGACTCAAAAGCCGGTGTTAAATGTACCAGTTCTGAAAAGCGCAATTTAAAACAGAAGAGCAAGTGCAAATATCCAGGAAGCATTATGAGAAGAAGCCAAATGAAGTTTAGCAACCGTCAGTTTGGCCAAAATTTAAAGCATTGATAACAACGAGTGTTGGAAGGCATGTGGAGAAAGGGACATTCTTTCTTATTGCTGGTAGGAAAATGGAAAGTAATGTGTTGGCATCTCTTAAAATGTAAATGTGCATATAATTTGCCAGGCAATGCTATTACATTGGGGAATCTGTCTGACACAAAAGCATCTGTATGCAGAGAGAAATGAGCAGGGATTTTTACTGAAGATCCTTGTATGGGAAAAGAAACTAGTACTTCAATGTGGATCAGTAGAAGAATGGTTAAATCCATCATGTATTTTCTACTCTTGTCATACAGCTATTAAAGATGATTACATCTGTTTTCTTAATTTGAGGGATTGTTCATTATATATTATTAAATGCCTACAAAAAAATTCAGAATAATGTTTCTTCTACAATTTCCATTTTAAACATTTAAGTAGTTTATGTGTTTATATATATGGGAGGATGTATAGGCATAAAGACGTGTAGAAAGAGACATACCATGTTAGGAACAATTATTATCATCAGGAATAAAAAATGAGCGTCAGCAAAGGAGGTTATTAATGTCTCTTCTGTATCTCTTGTCCCTGGATGGCACAATCCGTTAAGTGCTTGACTACTTTCTAACTGAAAGGTTGGCATTTCATTTTGAAACTTCCCAGAGGTACCTAAGAACAATGTCCTGACTGTCCACTTCCAGAAGGTCACCGCCTTGAAAACCCCTGTAGAAGACGCTACTCTGTGGAGTATAGTCTACTCTGCATGTATGGGGTCACCATGAGTTGGAATCGACTCAGTGGCAGCTGGCTTGGTTTTTGGGGTTTTGTCAAACAAACGTGTTACTTTTTTAATTTAAAAAATCCAATAAAATTTGTTAAACTCTAAATGTCAGTACACGTTATATGAGGTTGGTGGTTTGGTTGTGAGCATGTGTTAATACTATATAGTGTAGGAAAAGAGAACTAACATTTTTGTATTTGATCAGAGATGTCTTCATAGAGGGAACAGTACATCTCACTCGGCAGATGTGTCCATATTCTTTTGTAAACCTACTTACAGTTTGGAAGTTTGGAACTGGTATTTCTTTTCTCAACTCAGTTAAAATATAGGTATTCTAAGGAATAATAACTAGAAAACCAGATATGAAATAAATCATCCTAGACAAAAGAAAACAATGCTTCCTTATTTAAAATATTATGTTTCTCCTGTTTTACTCTTCATAACAGCTGGTTATACAACCTATAGGGGAAGACGTTACTATGGCTAATAACTATATCTTTGTAAGCGTTGAGTTGTTCTTTGTGTTTTTTAAAAAACATGCTTGCACACTGTATGTTTGAAACAGAGATTATTTATCACTTTTCTTTTTTATTTCAGAACGCTTTACTGTGTACAGCTCTAAAAACCTGAGACAAGCGTGGAATAAGTAAGTCTTTATATAGATTGCCCTCATGCACTGTCTTTTAGGTTTTTTTTTGTTTTTTGCTCTCATTTAATTTTTAAAACTACTCTGTTAAGTTTGTCATGTTATTCATTGATTCATGCATTCATTCATTTAACCATAAAGTAATTATGAAACTGTGTGCCAGACACTATGTTTAGCCTGAGCCTACACCATGTATACCTACACCAAAAAAAAAAAAAAACAGTGACTAAATATGTAATCATTTCAGGGCTGCACATTGTTTTGGGAGCAGCGAAATTCTGTTTGTTAAATGCCATTTATTGAGTGGCTTTCTAATTTTAATAATGTTGGTGACAACCTTCAAACTAGATAAAATTGATTTTTCATATTTCCTCAGTTTACCTCCCCCACCCCCCCCGCCAAAGCCTTATTAGGAAGCTAGCTAGGTACGTGTATCACTGGAAGTACACATCATTCCATCCATTTAATTTCTGTTCTCTTATTTGAGCTTGTTGAAATTTTTTTAGTTACTGGTTCTGAAATTTGATTACAATACTGAAAGATCTGAGTTTTACAAATTATTCAGGGGTCTTTTACTGCAAGCCAGTCTGTTTGTAAATCATTGAAAGTTGGAAAGCAAGGTAAGTGAGTCACCCTGGTTTAGTTGTTGGTTTTGGTTGATCACATTTCAAAGGAGCCTTCGTGCACAGTGGTTGAAGTACTCAGCTGCTAACTGAAAGGCCAGTGCTTCAAACCCTCCAGCTGCTGCTCTTTGAAAGGAAGATGTGACAATCTGCTTTCTTATAGATTACAGCCTTGGAAATCCTATGAGGCAGTTCCACTCTGTCCTATAGGGTTACAAAACCAAAAGAAAAAAACAAAACTTACTGCCGTGGAGTCAGACTCGACTCATAGTGACTCCTCCTTGGGTTTCCGAGGCAGTATCACTGTGGAAGTAGATTGCCCAATCTTCCTTCCGAGGAGTGGCTGATGGGTTTGAACCACCAGCCTTCTGGTTAGCAGTCAAATGCCTTAGACACTATGCCACCAGAACTCCTATATTATTGTTGTTGTTGTTTGCCATCAAGTCGGACCCGATTCATAACGACCCCTCCTTGAGTTTCCAAGTAGTATCACTACGGAAGTAGATTGCCCAACCTTCCAATAGGGCTACTGTAAGTCAGAATTGACTGTACAGCAACAGGTTTGGTTTTGGTTTTGGTTTAGTGTCACATTTCAAGCATTATGTTGTTGTTGTTGTTGTTAAGTGCCGTCGAGTCGTTTCCGACTCATAGCGACCCCATGCACAGCAGAACGAAACACTGCCCGATCCCGCACCAGCCCCACAATCCCTGCTATACTCGAGCCCATCATCGCAGCCACTGTATCAATCCATTCAGATGGATTGAAGCATTATGTAGGGCACAAAATAATTGGAACTGCCTTGGTTAAATAAACTGATTCATTCATTCCTAACAAAATGTTGTTTAAAGGGAATTTAGTGTTAACAATTACAGTTTTTACAGTTATAACATGTTTAATTTTAGATATCATCAGTTATATATATATATATACACAAAATAAGTGGAAAAAAACTTTTCTTTAATATATTTTTTACTGTGCTTTGTATGCAAATTTACAAAACAGATTTGTTTTACATTTGATAGTTCATGCACATTTGATTTCACAGCCCAGATTACAATCCCCAACCATAAAAAAACTTTCCTCCCCTCTCCTCCCTGTGCCCTTCTTATCTGTGCACTCCTGTCTGTCCAGCTTTCCCTCTATGTGAATGCTGCCCCTATGATAGCTCATGGTGGATTGATCCAAGGGGTACATCTTCCTAGAGGAGGTGGGCATCTTTCCCTGGGATAGGTGTTCGACATGTAGGTCTTTCTACTTTTGGGCTGAGATCCAATCTATGGAAGTGAGTCCATTTCTAGGCCTGAAGGATAACCTGGGGCCATAGTCTTGGGGGTTCTACCAATCTCTATCTGACCAGTAATTCTGGTCATTTTTGTGTTTTTGAATTTTGTTTCACATTTTTCCTCCCACTCTAACCAGGATCTCCAATTTTGATCCCTTTCTGAGTGGTTGGCATTGATAGCCATACACCATCTAATTCTTCTGGTCTTGGGGTCATGAAGGCTGAGGTCCATCAGATCTTTGGACTAATTGTTTCTAAATAACTTTGATTTTCTTCACTCTGCTTTGCTCTAGGCAAGAGACCAACAGTTGCATCTTAGATGGCCGCTTGAAAGCTTTTAAGACCCTAGTCGCTACTCACCAGAGTAGGATATAGAACAAGATTTTTATGTACTATGTTGTGCCAATTGAGCATGATGTCCCCCAAGACTATGATATCCTGAACCTGCAGGCCCAGTGAATCTCTCTCTCTAGGTGTTTGGTTGTCTCTGAGAAGCTATTCCAACCCTGTTGTCTGTGGTGTATGTGGATAATTTTATTGCACAAGTACATATGTATGATTCTCTTCAGCCAAGTCTGTTGTTGGTCTTGGACGTATTCCTGTTCACCTACTCTCACTTGGTCTTCTCACTTGCCTATGCATTTACCCATTGACTAGGGTTTGGTGCCACTGGTAATGCAGTATTATGCATGTAATAGTATTTCCCTCTGTTGTGTATATCTTTTCTACACATTTTTGTGTCCTCCCTTTCCCCATTGTCACCATGCTGGTCACAGACTTTCCATACCACTCCTCCCTTCACTCAAATCAACATGTGACCCCCAATTAGTCCAAAATTTTCCATCCCCTTCTCTCCCATCCCTGGTAAGCAACAAAATGAATTTCCTTCCCTGAGTAAACCTTTCCTTGACTTTTTACAATAATGGGCACATAAAATATTTGTCCTTCTGTGATTGACTTATTTCACTCAGCGTAATGTCTTCCAAATTCATTCACATTGTGAGATGATTCGTGTATTCATCATTATTTTTTAACCTTCCATAGTATTCCATTGTGTGAATGTACCATAGTTTGGTTATCCATTCATCTGTTGATGGGCATTTAGTTTGTTTTCATCTCTTTGCTATGGTGACGTGTGCTGCAATGAACATGGGTGTGCATGTCTGTAAAAACCTTTTTGATATTGCAAATGAAATTTAATGCTCTTAGCAGATACAGTAGATAGCTTATATAGGCATACCTCAGAGATATTGCAGATTTGGTTCCAGACCACCACAATAAAGCAAATATTTCAATAAAGCAAGTCATATGAATATTTTGTTTTCCCAATAATATAAAGTTATGTTTACGCTACATTGTAGTCTGTTAATCAGAAGGAAGTAAACTGGGAAATCTGCTTCCATAGAGATACCACCTCGGAAACCCAAGGAGAGGTCTCTATGCGTCAAATCGACTTGATGGCAGTGAGTTTGGTTTTAGGTTTATTTTTGGTAATCTATTAAAAGGAGCTCTGGTGGCATTGTGGGTAAGGCATTTGTCTGCTAACCATAAGGTTGGCAGTTCAGACCCACCAGCTGCTCCAGAGGAAGAAGATGTGGCAAACTGCTTCCATAAAGATTTACAGCCTTGGAAACCACATAGCTGTTGCTATGAGTCAAAATTGGCTCGATGGCAGTGGGTTTGTTTGGTTTTAAGGAGCTCTGGTGGCACAGTGCCTAAGGCATTTGACTGCTAACCAGAAGGCTGGCAGTTTTGGTGGTCTATTAAAGGAGCTCTGATGGTGTAGTAAGGAGCTCTGGTTGTATAGCACCAAAAGCATTTGACTGCTAACCGAAATGATGGCAGTTCAAACCCACTAGCCACTCCATGGAAAGAAGACTGGGCAATCTACTTCTGTAAAGATTTACTTCCTCGGAAACCCAAAGACGGTCATTGTGAGTTGGAATCAACTAAATGGCAGTTAGTTTTTTTGTTTTTTGGTGGTGTAGTGGTTAAGGCATTTTGCTGCTAACCAAAAGCTAGGTGGTTCAAACCCCCCAGCTACTCCACAGAAGAAAGATGAGGCAGTCTGCTTCCATAAAGATTTACAGCCTTGGAAACCCCGTAGGGGAATTGACTCAGTGGCAATGAGTTTTGGTTTGGTAGTCTATTAAGTGTGCAATATAACATTATGAAAATGTTTGAAACATTGTGAGAATTACCAAAATGACAGAGAGACACAAAGTGAGCACATGCTGTTGGAAAATGGCATCAACAGGCTTGTTTGATGCAAGGTTGTCACAAACCTCCAGTTTGTTTTTTTAAAAAATATAGTATTTGCAAAGCTGAATAAAACAAGATATGACTATACTAAGGAACTCATGGAATACAATACTTTAAATTCTGCAGTGCTTTATCTGAAGGATCTGGTAATTCATTTTGATTACATTCACACAATAACACACTGATGTAATTATTTTTGTCTAATGCAGGGCTTTACTTTTTTGCTTCTATAAATAATTTTATGTGAAAATGTAGATGATACAGCATTTGCTAATTCAGCACTTTTCACGAGTACAAATCAGTGACACCAATTAATCATTGTGTGCGACAGTCACCAGTACCCACTGAAGGGCTGTGAATTGAACCTCTACAGAGTCTCTGCTGGGAGGCACACCTTCTACTGGGAGCACTATGTGTGTGTGCACCTCACCCTTTACCTAACGCCAATACTGGTAGATGATCTAACTATTTTATTTAGTGCTTTGATACACCAGGTAATATATACACTATACAGTTCCTATCTTAATTAAATGATCAAACACATTCCTCTTTCATAATTGTTCAAAAAGGTTTGTCCAACCAGGTAACCATTTTTATAATACAGTCCTTGATAAAGCAGTTGCATCTCTAACACTATCTTTGAAGTGAAAATCTGGCAAATCTGCACATAGAAGCATTTGAGGGGTTGTTGTTGTTAGGTACTGTCGGTTCCAACTCATAGCACCCTGTGTACAGCAGAATGAAATGCTGCCCGGTCCTGAGCCATCCTCACAGTCATTGCTATGTTGGAGCCCATTCTTACAGCCACTGTGTCAATCCATTTCGTTGAGGA